TCTTCTTGCTTCTGAGACACTCAGTCCAAAACATATTAGATCATATAATTATATAAGGTTTTATTGATATAATTTACAGTAAAAACAGCTTTTATTAAACAATAATTTTAATTTAGAGAAGAGTAAAAAAAAAGATCTTTCAGCTTGCAAAAAGTTGCTTACCTAGTGCTAACAGATCACACCACATAAAAAACAGGGCCAAGGTAATGAGAAAGAACATATGTTCAAATGGATGTTTCAGTTTTTCAATAAATACTTTTCTGTTCAAATATTAACCAAATGTGGAACTACTTTAATCAGCTGTGCAAATATTTGCCTTCCAACCGTGTTTAAGAGTATTATTTTTAAAATATAAAAATACATTGGCAGGACAGTAGAAAATTACAAAATAGTGACTTGAAAGCTAAAACCAACATGTCATAGCAGCACAATAGCTACATGTACTATGTTGTGTTTAACATAATGTGCCGTATTCAATAAATAATGTTTCCACATTGTCAGGGAATTATTAATTGCTGCCAAAGCAGGAGATTGCGTGAGCTTCCAAAAATCTGACACAAAAATGGAGTTTAGTAATAATGTTAATATTATACTCGCAGTAGGGTTCCAAAGTAGTGTAAATGTTTGTTCACTCTCTATGTTTCAAACACTGTAGGTCATTCATAAAGTAGGAGAGTTTGAACTTCCCAAGACAGCTGGTTCAAGATTTTATTTTAGATTTTTTGCTGAAGAATTGGCAGGAGACAACCCTTCTTTGAAAAATAAATGTGTCCGACTGCAATCACAGATATTTTAATACTGCACATTCTTGGCATGCTGACAGTATAGCATGGCTACATAAAGTAAACATTGCCTTTACCTTTTCACCTTTTCTTGGTGCACATTTTCTTCTGAGCCTAAGGAAACTGATCCTTAATTGCAAGCAAAAGCCTCATTCCTGTAAGATTTTAAGGATTTAATAACACATGATTTCATAGTAATAAGGTTTTTATCCTCCACATCTAGAAACAGACTTCTGATACTGATATGTAGACTGCCAGAAGAGTGAAAAAATAATCAATTTCCTTTTAAAGCCCTTCTCCAGCTAAATGAAAGTTTCCCACCCATCATTTCCTTTCACCCATTTACACGTTGTTTTTATTTTTACCACCCTTAAATATCCCTTTTTTTGCTTGCCTGAAACAACTGCTATGTGCTCCTCCTTAGCACCTCTTCCAGGAGACAGTGAGACCAATACTGCTGACTGTGCTTGCTGCCAACAGGTCCTTGACTATGATATAATTGTCTTTCGGAGCCTCTGATGGTCAGCCAAGACAAAGTATCCACTTCACTCAGGCAAAATCATGGGCACCCGAAAAAGGACCCTTCCACTTTCAGGTGCCCAAGAGAAGAATCATGTCAGGGATAACTAGTTCAGTGTAGCTGTACTTAGGAAACTGGAATCCGAATGAACAGGATTAAAATAAAGTTTATACACAAAACACCTATCCAACTCCAACAGACCGTAAGCAAAGGAAAAGTGAAACATAAATGTGACAGTGGCACAAAACCCAACCAACATCCAAATTATATACATTATATACAAATGGTAGGAAGCTGACACAAACAAGCCATGAGCAAGACTGTGACTGGGAACAAGAGGAGCAGAGATGGGGTAACAGAATACAGGGCAATGGATACAAAGTACAGGATAAGGCAGGGATCAGCAAGCAGGTGTATGGCTAACAGGCAAAACAATGAAGCAATGATGCAAATCAAGGGAGGTGTTATATACCTTCCAGCTGGTGGCCACCCAAACTGCACCCTTCAGCTCTAGGAACTACCATTACTATCCAGGACCAATCATGTCAGGTGACCACAATCTTGAGTAAGTAAAACGGTAATTTAGCTTAGTATTTTATTGATTTTACAGTGATTAGAGCACAACTTTAAATAATATAAGTCCCCAGAAACCCCAAGAGTAGTACATGGCTGGGAGGTGGTAGTTCCTGACAGTGTCATCCTCAGTGACCAGAGGACTCAGAATCTCATGCCTCCTCCAACTTACGCTGCATGGGTTCTCTGATTCTGCAAAGCCTGCAAAAGGACCCAAGGATTTATGATATCAAGGACAGAGATCGTTACTGGTTGGCAACCCTTCTGGATCCACATTACAAGGGTAAAATTGCAGAGCTCATCCTGCCTTCACAGAGGGAACAGAGGATTAAACATATTGAGGACATCTTGAAGAAAAATGTGTGTAACACCTTTGTAGACACTGGGAGGTTCCCATTTCCTGGGCAACGTGTTTCTGAGGCTTTGTTCGATCAAAAGAAGAGCGGTGGAGAAGGCTGACCTATGCCTGTAAACAATTCTTTAGTCCTCAGTGCCCAGGTCTGTCAGGTTTAAGTACCATGTTGGTAGTGCCTGCATCATATGGTACAGGATTATCTAGGGGCAAAAGCAGACTTGGAGACCTTTCCAACTGAGGATCCACTGGGTTACTGGGTCTTGAGGATGGATCACTGGTCATAACCTGCTCAATATGCATTCAAGCTACTGGCGTGTCCTGCATCCAGCATGCTTTCCAAATGGATATTCAGTGCTGCTGGAGATTTTGTGACAGATAAAATAGTGCCTCTGTCCACAGACTCCGTTGACCTGCTGACATTTATCAAAAAGAATCAATCCTGGATCAACAGCAGCTATCAAGCCCCTGACGCTGATTTGTTAGGGATGTGGGATCCCTTGAAGACTGCCTTTGCTGCCTATCCTATTTCTGATTATGCTAGCTTTCAGCAATGTTTTTGGTTTAGGGCACCACCAACACCCGAGGCCCAAATTTTTTGCACCTGTTTGCCAGGTGCATATCATTTTAAATTTTTTTTTTACAATTTTTTTTTACAGTTTTTAACAGCAGGTCCTGTTCCTGCACCCAGCAAGAGTAACTATGAGGGGTTACAGTGTTCAGGCACCACCAACACCCAAGGCCCAATTTTTCTGCACCTGTTTGACAGGTGCATATCATTTCAGTTTTTTAGAGCAGTTCCAATTCCTGCGCACATCAAGAGTAACTGTAAGGCCTACAGTGCAGAGGCACCAACAACCAAGGCCCATTTTTTCAACACACTGTGTGATAGGTGCATATAATTAGAATTTTTAGAACAGGGTCAAATCGACACTCATCAAGAACAACTTTGAAGGGTTAAGTGAGAAGGCACCACAAAATATTCGCCCTCCAAACACCCTACAATGCACTGCCCTCTCACAGTGCACAGTCCCCGCTTACACTGCAGCCTTATGTAGTGTGTTTCTGGACACTGCCAATGACAGAGGAGCGAATATTTTCCCTGAAAATAAATAAATAAATAAAAATAATATTAAAAACAAAAAATGCATTTAAAAAAAAGAAACCGCTTGGGTTTTCCCCTAATCCATACCAGGCTCTTTAGGTCTGGTAGGAAAGTTAGGAGGGACCCCACAGTAAAAAATGTTTTTAAAAAAATTGTATGGGGTTCCCCCTAAAAGCCATACCTGGCCCTTTCGGCCTGGTAGACTTTTAAGGGGAACCCCACTTCCCACAAATGGGGGAAAAAAGTGCCTACGGTTCCCTCTAAAAGCCATACCAGGCCCCTCAGGTCCGGTAGGACTTTTAAGGGGAACCCCAACTCCAAATAAAAAAAAATTGGGGGATCCTCCCTAAATTCCTACTGGACCTTTGATCCAAGCACAGACTTGGCAGGACAGGAAAGGGGGGGGGGGCGATCAAGCACCAGGCCCCATGCCCTCAGCACAGTGTCTCCATGCCAATGTGGACAAGGGCCTCTTCCCCATAACCCTGGCCCAGTGGTTGTGGGGGTCTGTGGTCAGGGTGGCTCATTAGCATTTTTTCAACACACTGTGTGATAGGTGCATATAATTAGAATTTTTAGAACAGGGTCAAATCGACACTCATCAAGAACAACTTTGAAGGGTTAAGTGAGAAGGCACCACAAAATATTCGCCCTCCAAACACCCTACAATGCACTGCCCTCTCACAGTGCACAGTCCCCACCTCACACAATATAAAATTGCTTACACTGCAGCCTTATGTAGTGTGTTTCTGGACACTGCCAATGACAGAGGAGCGAATATTTTCCCTGAAAATAAATAAATAAATAAAAATAATATTAAAAACAAAAAATGCATTTAAAAAAAAGAAACCGCTTGGGTTTTCCCCTAATCCATACCAGGCTCTTTAGGTCTGGTAGGAAAGTTAGGAGGGACCCCACAGTAAAAAATGTTTTTAAAAAAATTGTATGGGGTTCCCCCTAAAAGCCATACCTGGCCCTTTCGGCCTGGTAGGACTTTTAAGGGGAAGCCCACTTCCCACAAATGGGGGAAAAAAGTGCCTACGGTTCCCTCTAAAAGCCATACCAGGCCCCTCAGGTCCGGTAGGACTTTTAAGGGGAACCCCAACCCCAAATAAAAAAAAATTGGGGGATCCTCCCTAAATTCCCACTGGACCTTTGATCCAAGCACAGACTTGGCAGGACAGGAAAGGGGGGGGGGCGATCAAGCACCAGGCCCCATGCCCTCAGCACAGTGTCTCCATGCCAATGTGGACAAGGGCCTCTTCCCCATAACCCTGGCCCAGTGGTTGTGGGGGTCTGTGGTCAGGGTGGCTCATTAGCATCGGTGTACCCATTTAAATAAGGGGGCACCTTGATGCTGCCCCTCCTTGTGAATGAGTAAAGGGTACTTGTACCCCTACCTATTCAATAAAGGGTTAAATTTAGAAAAAATAAAGACGCCAGACTTTTGAAAAATCCCTTACTGGCCGCAGGGGGGAGGGAACTCTCATCTCCCCCCTTTCCTGCCCTGATATGCCTGTGCTCAGATCAAGGGTCTGGTAGCAATTTAAAGGGGACCCCATGCTTTTTCGTCCATTTTGGGGGGTGGGGTTCCCCTTAAAAGTCCTACCATGTTTAAAGGGCCTGGTATGGCTTTTAGGGGGAACCCTATGCACTCCCCCCCCTCGAAGACATTGGCTTTGTCATGTGATCAGCTGTATCCAATCACAGCTGATCACATGTAAATAAGGAAATGCCAGTTATCGGCATTCCTCTCCTCACGACCTGTCACGCTGACAGCTCCTGAGAAGAGGAAAACCAGTAATTGGCATTACTCAGAAGGGACATGTACACTGATCATCAGGGCACTGATGATCAGTGTGCCCTGATGATCAGTGTAGCCCCATCATTGCCACCTGTCAGTGCCCTTCAATGCATGCCAGCTGTCAGTGCTTATCAATGCCACCTGCCAGTGCCCATCAGTGCCACATCAATGCCACATATCAGTGACTACCAGTGCACATATCAGTGCCCATCTGAGCTGCCTTTCAGTGCCACCTATCAGTGCCAGTCAGTGCCACCTATCAATGCCAATCAGTGCCAGTCAGTGCCACCTACCAGTGCCCGTTGGTGCTGCCTATCAGTGCTGCCTAACAGTGCCAGTCAGTGCCGCCTATCAGTGCCACCTATCAGTGCCATATATGAGTGCTGCCTTTCAGTGCCCATCAGTGATGCCTGTCAATGCCCATCAGTGCCACCTACCAGTGCCTCCTCATCAGTGCCCATCAGTGCAGCCTATCAGTGCCCATCAATGCAGCCTCATTAGCACACATCAGTGAAGGAGAAAAATCACTTATTTACAAAATTTTATAACAGAAACTAAGAAAAACTTTTTTTCAAAATTTTCAGTTGTTTTTGGCTTGTTTAGCAAAAATTAAAAAACCCAGAGGTGATTAAATACCACCAAAATAAAGCTTCACCTGTCTCAAAAAAGTGAAAAAAAATTGCATGACCACGCAATTGTCATTCAAAGTGTGACAGTGCTGAAAGCTGAAAATTGGCCTGGGAAGGAAGGGGGTATAAGTGCCTTGTAGGAAAGTGGTTAAGGGAACCCCCCCAGGCATGATATTTAAAGGAATTTTTTTTATTACTTTAAGGAATTAAAAATGAATGCCCCTTTAAAAGCGGCACTTTTTGACATTTATTTTTTCACTGATTCATGTCCCTCAGGGCAGTACCCAAGTCCCTATGCCCCTTTTATCGCCAATAACTTGCATATAAGCCTTCAAATTGGCCTTTTTTTTAGTTTAAAAGTTCGAATCCCACTTGCATTGAGTTCACGGTCAAACTTTCATTAGGTTCGAATGTTTGACTGCGAACTGAACACAGGGGTGATTGGCCCATCACTAGTGGTAACTACTTTACAACAAATGCACCTCACTTTCACTCCCCTAGTGCCATAGTTTCGGTAAAAGCTAGGCATTCCATTCACCTCACAAAAAATACTCCCAGGAGAGTCAGGTCCAAAATGAGAGGTAGAAGTGCTGTGTGTGGAGGTAGTAGATGGCAAGCAGGTCCTGCAGAATGCATGGGGGTAAGGCCACTCAAACTGGAGGTAGGGCACTGTGCCTTTTTTTCTCAAAGTGTCCAACCAGTACAGCACATCCATCAGATAGTTGACTTCCTGACAACATTTTTTACCCCTACATTTAGATATTGGAAAGAGCGGAACATTGTCTGTAATATCACTAATGCAACCTTTTCCCCCCTATCTCCTCCCCCTTTTTTTACTTAGTAAACCTTATTACTGTGCTTTTTTAGTAACATTTATTAGCCACCTTAAAAAAAAAAAAAAAGACTTAATTACCCAGAATTTGATTACAATGTTATAGTCTATATGTAGGGATTGATTTGCCAAAGACAAATAAGCTTTTCACTTTGCAAGGGAATAGTCCCTAGCTTAGTTAATGTGGTAAAAAATAAACTTCACAGAAAATAACCAAACGTACAAGGAAAATAAGAGAATAAAATTTTTGGTTGCCCATAATTGGACTATGGAAGTCAGCAGAGCTTCACTTTATTCCCTAATCTATGAGAAAATTTCACAGCAAAGTGAAATTTCCTTGCAAAGTGAACAGTCTGCCTATAGTAATTCAACCAATCGGTGTACATACACTATATTGCCAAAAGTATTGGGACACCCCTTTAAATTGAATTCAAGTGTTCCAATCACCTCCATGGCCACAGGTATATAAAATCAAGCACCTAGGCATGTAGACTGCTTCTACAAACATTTGTGAAAGAATGGGTCGCTCTCAGGAGTTCAGTGAATTCAAGTGTGGTACTGTGATAGGTTGCTACCTGTGTAATAAGTCCATCCATGAAATTTCCTTGCTACTAAATATCCCACAGTCAACTATTAGTGGTATTACCGTATAACAACGTGGAAGCAACTGGGAACAACAGCAACTCAGCCACAAAGTGATAGGCCACATAAAATGACAGAGCGGGGTCAGCGCATGCTGAAGCATACAGTGTGCAGTAGTTCCATGTCCGAGCAGCTGCATCCAAGCCTTACATCACCAAGTGCAATGCAAAGCGTTGGATGCAGTGGTGTAAAGCACGCCGCCATTGACTCTAGAGCAGTGGAGAGGTGTGCTGACTCTGGAGTGACGAATCACGCTTCTCTCTCTGGCACTCTGATGGACGTGTCTGGGTTTGGCGATTGCCAGGAGAACAGTACTTACCTGACTGCATTGTGCCAACTGCTAAGATTAAAGTTTGGTGAAAGGGGGATTATGGTGTAGGGTTGTTTTTCAAGGATTGGGCTTGGCCCCTTAGTTCCAGTGAAGGGAACTCTTAAGGTGTCAGCAAACCAAGACATTTGGGACAATTTCATGCTCCCAACTTTGTGGGAAAAGTTCCTATTCCAACATGACTGTGCACCAGTGCACAAAGCAAGGTCCATAAAGACATGGATGAGCAGGTTTGGGGTGGAGGAACTTGTCTAGCCTGTACAGAGTCCTGACCTCAACCTGACAGAACACCTTCGGGATGAATTAGAGCAAAGACTGCGAGCCAAGCCTTCTCATCTGACATCAGTGCCTGACCTCACAAATGTGCTTCTGGAAGAATGGTCAAACATTTCCATAAACACACTCCTAAACCTTGTGGACAGCCTTCCCAGAAGAGTTGAAGGTGTTTATAGCTGCAAAGGGTGGGCCAACTCAATATTGAACCCTACAGACTAAGACTGGGATGTCATTAAAGTTCATGTGCATGTAAAGGCAGGCGTACCAATACTTTTGGCAATATAGCATATATAACATTGCGAATTGGCATACATACTTACTTTCATATTAATTAAAATCTTTTTTTTTCCTATTTTTTTTGTCTAATAGTCATGATCTTCTATGGCGTGTCCTTTAAAGTTGTCAGTATCATGCACTCTTTGTTTAGGTTCATATTTTAATTTAAAACAGAGTTATAATAATGCTCGTTGTTGCAGTAGAGATTTAATGTGAAATCCTGTATGCCTCACAAATTTACAGGCGGATAGATAATCTCCACTGAGTATTATCCCTTCCTGAAATGGTGTAATAATGACATTTTTAATACATTACATAATATTTAAACCTTACTCATAGATATGTGTAAACCTCAGTTAACTTTACTGAGTTTAGGCAAATAAATTGAGGCTGATTTACAAAAGAATTTGAGATTCTTAACTTAATAATTTAGGTGACTATTCACTTCAGTTATCTAATTATGTGAAAAAGTACATTCTTGTTTACTTATTTCATTTGCACATTAGGTATATAAAGTGAACAGAAAATTCCTTTTGGAAAATTAAAGTGAACATTCACACAATTTATTGATTTAAGTTTCTCCGCTCCTTAGGTAAATCATCATGTATAATTTTTTTGTGAAGAATATACCATATATATATATATATATATATGTATATATATATATAATATATATATATATATATATATATATATATGATACATATAAAATAATAATCCAACCATTTGCAGTTGAACCATATCTGCACTTCACTATAAACCAGGTTTGCACACTGAAACCTATCTTGCCTTTTCTTCCCAAATGTAAACATATGGGATTACTTGTAGCAAAAGTGAATTTTCTATTGCCTAACCTCACTGAGACTGGTACTATCCATTTTATTTGGTTCTAATGATAATGAGATCTGCCTTCACACAGACATTGGATTCAGAGGAAGACAATGCTTAAGGTGGCCATACACGAGTCAAATTCCGGAATAATTTTCTTTCAAAAGTCTTTTTTCTAAGAATTTTCATTTGAATTTCACACCTTTAGTGGGCCACAGAAACAGCTGATTTTAGTGCAGCCATCAAATCTGAGTGATCGGGCATGTTGGAAATTTTTCAAAAAACAAACAAATTTATAATCGATGATGGGAGAGTCGTGCGAGAAATGTAAAAGAAAAAGAAACAAGCATGAGCTATGACCTGGAAAGAAAAGAGAATTCTTGGCCACAAAAAATTATTTTCTGTAGCAACACGAGTTGAAATTGAAGGCTTGGGTGGTTGAATTTAAAAATTAATGATGGCACAATCGAATTACAAAAAGCACAAAATTTCTGATTTCCTAAAGAAAATTAGTTCAGAATTCGACCCATGTATGGCCTGAATAAGTCAATGCATTTGCAGTGTTGTCATCCTTTATTGAGCAGTCTTGAGCTGGACCAAGCACATCTATGCCAACACATAGTTCAGTAGCACATTTCACCAAAGTAAAATCTTCAATCAGCATTGGAGCCTGTCCAGGTCCATGGGAAGTTCATAACACAGTTTTACAGGGTGTGTGCTACTCAGGGAGAGAAAACATAAACAAAGTATTTATTTATTTCAGGTGCTCATAGTGCTCCATCAATTTACACAGCGCTTTACATATATATTGTACATTCACATCAGTCCCTAACCCTCAAGGAGCGTACAATCTAAGGTCCCTAACTTACATTCATACATACACATACTAGGGACAATTTAGACAGGATCCAATTAACCTGCCAGCATGTATTTGTAGTGTGAGAGGAAACCGGAGTACCCGGAGGAAACCCACGCAGACACAGGAAGAACATGCAAACTCCAGGCAGGTAGTGCCATGGTTGGGATTTGAACCAATGACCCCTGTACTGCCAGGCCAGTTCTAACCATTAAAAGTAGAACCATACTTTTTTTTAGCAAAAAAATGGATTCTCTTTAAAATAGATAAAAGATAAAGGCTAGTGTGACGATCACGGCGTCAGACCCCAGCCCTTCTCACCAAACTCATGACTGAAGGACTAGCCAATCTAAAACCTCACTGTCATGTGTGTAACAATGCCACGCCCAGCTGCACCCTACAGAAAGATTTTCCAGCTAATGGACCACAATGTGTGTCGGCAGCATGGGAGCGATTGTTACTGGGTCAGGTTAATTACACAATTAACCCTTCACACTGCCACCACCTCCATTTTGTACAGAGAAAGAGGAAACTTGGCAATATCAGCAATAACACTATGATGTTGGAATAATCATCGGTACACCACTGTCACCGCAGGCAAAGATATACCAAAGTTTAAAACACACACAC